TGAATACTTCTTTCAAATGATAAAATGCTTATCTCAGCCGCAAAGCTAGCACCTTACTGATAAAACCATTGAGGCATTCTCTAGCTGGGAGCAAAGTAAGAATGCCACTAATCCCGCTGCTGTCTCACAGGGCACTGGAAGTATTTACCTACAAAATTAGGCAAGAGAACTTACAGACTTTATCACTGGACAAGAACAGTCACAACTATCTTTATTCATAGATGACAAGGTTGTGTATCTGGAAAACCCCAGAGGATTAATGACCAATGTGAACAATAAAATAATCAACTGAAATATTAGTAGTAGTATTTAAATTAATATATGGAATTCAATGGGCTTTATATATACAAACGATAACCTCTGCAAAGTTATAATGCAAGAGGAGAACTCATTTAGAATAGCCTCAAAAAGGATAAACTAAGCATAAACTTAACAAGAACTCTGCAAAACCCGTATTAAGAAAACTTTATTTTTTTTCCCAGAACTGTAGACCTGAACAAACGCAAAATCTTAACTTATTCTTGAGTGGGAAGGTTCAGTCTCATAAAGATGGCAGTTCTTTGAAGGCATTTGCAAACTCAGCACTGCCCCAACACAGATTCCACTAGGTTTTCCGACAGTGACATGTTTATGAGGCCACTTGGGGGATGATTGAGAACGATCGTCAGGGCGCCCTGGAAAAAAGAACATTCTGATGGGGAGAACTTGCTCTGCCAGTTATTGAACACCTCAGAAGGCCTTTCAGACTGACACGGGGTGGAGCTGTGCAGAGACACAAAGACAGACGAGCGTTTCCCGGCTCCAGCCACAGAGGGAGCTGGGCTGCGGCGCCATTCCAGAGATCACCCTTGGTACCTCTTTGTAGCCTCTAAATGCGGTTCCACACTGTGCGTGAATGGCTGGCTTCAGGTCTGTGGCAGAAAGTTTGCAGGACGAGCCAGGGACATCCTGTGCCAATAAGAAAAGAAGAAATCAAAGAGCAATGGAGTCGTGAAATGAGGCCACAGGAGGCGACATCAGCGCTGCCGGCCAGAGTCGGGGTAGATGAGCACCACCAGAGTAATGACTGTCGCCGATTTTAAAACATTGTGTATCCAAACACTCGCAATTTTTTATGATATTCCAAAAGAAATTTATAGCTAAAAACAAAAACAAAACCTCATTGGCCTTCGTTTGGTGGTAACCAGAGCACTGGTTCCTTACGCAGAAACAGGCCTTACAAAGGAAAGAATGTGGCATTCCTCTCGCCTTTCCTCTGTGAACTGTATTTCAAGTAAACCAAATACCCTCATCAAATGGATGAGAGAAAGGCCTTTTTTAGAGAATTCTGGACAAAGGGATGGATGAATGGCGAATTAGAAAGTCACCCTCTTGCAGTCTGAGGTGAAGCAATTGATTAAGGCAGATGTTGTCATTAGAGCAGATTATCAGATAAAGATCGACAGCCCACAGGCAGCTGGAATAGACGTTTCTCCTAAGACGTACAAATGGCCTACAGGTGTGTGAAAATGTGCTCAACATCACCAATAACCAGGCCAATGGATACCAAAACCATAGTGAGATTCCGTCTCGCACTTGTTAGGGTGGCTAATATCAAAAAGACAAGGATACCGGGTGTTGGTGAGGGTGTAGAGAAGTTGCAGCTCCTTCCTGCACCGTTGATGGGAGGGTGACACGGTACAGCCACTGTGGAAAATGGTGTGGTGCTTCCTCAAAAAATTAAAAAAATGGAACTGCCATATGATCCAGCAATCTCACTCCTGGGTATTTATCCCAAAGAATTGAAATCAGAATGTCAAAGAGATATGTGCTCTCCCATGT